TTGATTATTGTCCTCTCAAGATCTGTGAAGAATTTTGATGGGACCTTGATGGGGATTGCATTGAATCTATAAATTGCCTTTGGTAGAATTGCCATTTTTACTATGTTGATCCTCCCAATCCAAGAGCAAGGGAGATCCTTCCATTTTCTGGTATCCTCTTCAATTTCTTTCTTCAATGCCTTAAAGTTCTTGTCAAATAGATAGATAGATAAAAGGTCAGTGAATGGCAGACACTAAAAACTACATCACCACTTCACCTTCATGTAAAAGCATTGTATGAAATATTTCAAGTGTTTGCAACATGGAGTCCAGCTATGGCTTTGTCTCTTATCTGTTCACACTTCCAAGTGTCCTCCAAACAGCAATCCAAATCAAACAAGCTTGACCTACAATTCTTTCTCATGCTATGGTGCTCTCCAAAGTCACTGTGGATGAATCTGAAATCATAGAGGTAGGGGACTAAGGAACAAAGCAAACATGTTTTTCACCAGCATGAAGGGTACAGGTACAGGATCCCAGGGCAATGAGATCCCCAGAGCACATGTATGAGAGGGAAAAGCAAGAAAAGCCAGTGCATTTGTGGTCACTCTGATTAGTAAGAGGAGAATGTCAACACTCTCACTTACCCTCAATTTTCTGGACTTTCTTCTATCTGTGTCCTTGTCTCGTATGAGAACCATAGACTATCCAATATCAGGAACCAGATGCTGTAGCTAACAGAGTCTTCTCTGACACTGTCAAGGTCTGAACTTGTTCCATGAACCAAGCCAATAATCTTCTTGGTTCATCCTAGTTGCAAGGCATTTTCTCTGTGTAGTGCAGACCCTGACATGTCTCTTTCTTTGCTTTGCCTCTTTCTAATCTTGCAATCTATGTATGTGTTAATGAAAATAACTAATCAGAAGTGTTTTGAGTATGGGAAGCCCACCACATACATGAAGGCTGACTTAATCCTAGGTGTGTTTATCCCCATTTTCTTCACACTAGAAGGACCCAAGGAAATCCAGATATTTTTTGAGAAAAAAGAGAATCCACTAATCAAAAGCTTAATGTAAGTACTTGTGCCCCTGTGCTAAGGATTATTTTCCAACTTAATGTAAGGACTTGTGCCCTGTGCTAAGGATGTTCTAGCTGCACGACAGTGCATGCTCATCTGCGCACATGTAATTCCTTTAAGAATAATGAACTGTATACACAGAAATGTGAAACTCAGTTGCAAACTTTCCTCATTCATTATGCTTCTAGAGATCTTTACTCTCCTCCTCTTTATTTCTCTAGTCAAGTAGAGATCAAAAGAGAGAAATCACCAACTTTTGTGTCTTTCCATACTGTGAGTTCATGGTAAGGCTTATATTATTTTCACAGATTGACTTTAATGTGTCAGGAGAGGTTGCACCCCGCTCACATATCTTTGGGACTCTAAATGTGTTGTGTTTGAATGTTTCTTTCTTTCTATAGACTAGGAGAGTTTTTGTTAAATCCCCATGTCTTTAGTGCATACATTAGCATCTCCTACCCCACATGTTCTTGCATTAGTTTGTTTAAACATGTCAAGATTTCGACATTGTGATCATGTTTATTACTTATTTATTTCTCATTGATATTTTAATGCAGTATCTGCAAATCCCATTCTTCATTCCTGATATTCTGTCTTCTGCTTAGTCAGTGCTGCTGGAGTCACTTTCCACTGCGTTTTTATTGGCAGTTTCTTGATTTTATTTCCAACATTTCTATCTCTTCCTCCCTTACCCCAGAATCTTCATTTCCTTTTAGGATTTGACTTTCTTGGTACTGAGTCTTTGATATATATA